AAGTTATTTGAAGAAAATCATTGAGAAGCTGAAGTCCAAGTCTTCTGCAGCCAGAGGAAAAGAAAACRGTACAATAAATTGTTGCTCATATAGAACTTAGACGCTTATAAATTTTAATTAGTTACTTCAGTACACAGGATAACTGTGGTGCAGTGGTAAAGTAGCAGACTTGGGACCAAAATAAGAGATTTGATTTCCTGACATACGTCGTGGTGTTCTTGAGCAAGACACCTACTCCCTAACTACTTCCAGGCGATCACATAGCTGCTAGTAGCCTGGCCCTTGCCTTCCTAAACAGTTCCGCTCAATTCTAGTTTCACTGCTCCGTCTGGGACTTCTCCCATTAACAAGGATTTCACTGCCAGATTTTTAGCCGGGCCAATCAGAGAACAGAACATCAATTTTCTGTGCAGCGTCTCTTGTAGTTTATTTTACCTGGACCAATCAGCAAACAGAAGGCGGAGTTTTGAATGATGTCGATGTTCTGCGCAGTGTCTGCTAGTTATTTTAGCATACAGCAGTGGAGGAAGTGAATGAAGCCAGTCTGTGTTGATAAGGCTTCAAAAATTAAATTAAAATTGTCTGACAAAGCAGCAGTTCTCATTTATAGTCGTCTCGTTCGGCTCGGTATATTTCTCCTCTCAGTAGGGTTGTTTACAGCACACGCGATTTCTGGTTAGCTTCTTAGCTTAGCCTCCATCACAGTGACATACGTCGCAGCCAACTGATCCAATCATTTTAAACTTCAGCAGAGGCCACGCCTCCTGCAAGAATTACATGTCTATGCATCAAGTCCAGACCCTTGTACGAAGCAAAGTGAAGGACAGGGTCTGGTTTAAACCAGGCTAAGCTGCTAGCTGCTCCACTTGAATCTCACATGTGATGGGTTAAATGTAAAAACACTTATTTCATCATTTGAACACTCARTGATGACAATACACAAACCATGTTTTCATGCAGTCATTGAGAAGTCTGTGGTTACAACTTACAGTTAAATTACTGAGTGTGTACAATTCACATTACATTACCAGTTAAATGTTTTGTGCCAAGTAGGGTTGGGCATAATCGTATCGTGTGCACTTAATCATCAGAAAAACATTAATTGATTATTTTTGGCACTTGATAATTAATACGATTAATGCCACCAGGCAGACTGACTGGATATTTCCCAGATCAGTCCGCTTGATGCTCCTCTCCGCTTCAAGTATGACAAACATAAAAAAATAAATAAATTCTGTAATTTATTTATCAATCAACACACTTTAAAATTTTATGTATAGCCCAAAGTCTGTAATTTTGACACAATTTGGAACAGATTTTTTTATGAAGAGCAAATCTTTCCCACTAAATTGGTCATGTGACTAGGACATAAGGGTGTCCAGGGACTCCAGGGTAGGGTTGGGCAATATTGGCAAAAAAATAAATCACGATTAATTTTGGTATTTAGCCGATAACGATTAATTTGACAATTAATCCCCTGGAGTCCCTGGACACCCTTATTTCATAGTCACATGACCAATTTAGTGGGAAAGATTTGCTCTTCATACAAATCTGTTCCAAATTGTGTCAAAATTACATTCAGGCTATACATCAAATTTTAAATTGTGTTGATGGATAAATAAATTACACAACTTTTTTTTAATGTTCGTTATATTTGAAGCAGAGAGAAGCAGCGAGTGGACTCTGCCTGATGGCATCAATCATATAAATGCCAAAAATTAATCGATTAATGTTTTTCTGACAATTAATTGCACACAATTCGATTATGCCCAACCCTACTCCAGGGGGTTAATCGTCAAATTAATCATTATTGGCTAAATACCTCAATTAATTGTGATAATTTTTTGCCAATATCGCCCAGCCAGCCCTAGAGCAAAGATCAGTTCATTGTTAACTGGTCATAGTAATCAAAGACTAAACTTATGAGACCCGAAGTTGCAACGTAGATCTACACACAAAACCAGTCACAGCTAGCTTTAAGCCTAAAAATCTAAGCTTTGAGCCTTATTTCGTAAACACAAACATGTGGTCGTTCCTGTTTATCATTGTCGTATTTAACTGTTGGAGAGCACAGCTACAAGCCTTTATTTATTGTTTGAACAAGCAAATGCGTGTCAGATGCACATTCCCTTCTGACAACATACAACCATTTTTTTCCKAAATGTTTTACAAAATCCGTAATGAGCGCAGAGAAGTGGCAATGGAAATCTCAACAAGTTTGTCAGAGGGAAAGAGGAAAACAGCTAAGGGGTGTGTCACTTCCTGTTAAATACTGATAGCACATTAATTCAACCTAAAAGTTTCAATTTTAAAAAAATCTGATTTAAGTTTTAGTGGCTATGTAAACAAGGATTTTTATGTGTTTAACCTTTAACTGTTGTTTTTAAAAATACTATTAACCATATGAAACACTGATATTTAGTGGAGCTGGCAACAAGCACTTCAAAAGTTGTGGCAATTTGAAAACCTAACTTTTCTAGATTTGGGATCAAATTTTCTGCTCTCAGATGATCATTTCAGTAACAAAAGAACTCTACARAAACGTCTTCAACGATTTAAAAGTCACCATATATCAAACTGYGAGGAACCTTGGTCACACTGTGCCTTTTAAAATGGGGCTTGCACATTGTAAGCAAGCACTGGACAAAGCAGAAAAGGCATCAGAGGCAGACTAAACTCCTCCCTGTTTCAGTTATTGGGGGTGGAGGCTGTTGTGATTATTCAGTTGGTTGGACATCGAAGCCCCACAGACAAACACCTCCTTTCTGCGCATCCAAGTGACTGACAGAATGAGAGTCCCCAAATGAATGAGGAGACAGACCAAGCTTTGTGAGAGCAGCAGGCCTGTTCTGTCTGGAGCTGGACAGCTGCTCTTCTCTCAGTTGCAGCAGCCCTCTCCCATCATAACCGCCACCTCCCCTTCTTCCCCAGCCCCGCTTGCACATGCTCGCGGTCCACACGCTCATTAGGGTTAACGCGGCAGCCGCTGAGCTGATTGACAGCTGACTGACGAGGAGCCACTGCTGCAAAGCTCCAGTGCTCGGGGAGCGACTTCACTGGAGACGGTTTGGCCTAGCTCAAGCAGGCTGCTGTGTCTTTACGTCAACTGCAGGCTAATCTGACAGCGCTCTCTTCTACAACGTTCATCCTCACATGGCAGAATTAGCAAACAGAATTACACTGAACAGTGAATGGGGACAGAGCGATCAAAAAGGGACAAAACAAGATGGGAGCTGTAAACCGTCTGTCCAGTATGCCTGGTGGGAGGATAGTTTGAGAGCATCCCCATTTAAAGAGCTGGTTTCAGGTGAGCACACATATGGAGCTTACTCTGTGTTTTGAGGCAGGGGGAGATGCTGGGAGGTTATTATGGAGGGAGGCGGGGGGCATTGAAAGCAGGTCACTGGAGCACTGTGGGCTGCTGGAATTAAATACACAGCTTAGTTTGCCATTTTATTTTTCTCCTAAGTCCTTAAGACTATTAACAATCAATGCCAAGCTTGGTAAATGAGATGTTGGTGTGGGTAAATGTCATTTAGCTGCAAAACGCAGCTAGTAAGCCGCAAGAAAAACAAACACGAGCACAGACACATGATTCTGCAGAGTATGCAAAAAGGCCCATACTTCTGTTCTGTCTCCCTTCTTGGAGAGGTCTTTCCAACAATAGCAATGGTAATCTTAAAATAAGAAATGTGACACCAGGAGCAGATGGTCTAAAAAGTGGGATTCCCATGAAGAAGTCATGGTTTAGGGATGTTATGAATTTTTTGTCTTAAATCCACCAAAATAGGTCATTTTAGGACTTCAGCGTGCTTCTCCTCTGTATCTACTTTTCAGTAAATCCTGATGATGTAAGCTAGGTGATGCATCAGACTGTAAATGGTCTGATCCAACCATTAGCTCAACTGTTAACAACACAAAGCTCCCATCAGAGTGCAACTACTGCAAGGGATTCAAATGCTACTTTTATCTGTTCCCTTCCACCTAAACATCCCTGTGAGGCCCGAGACCCTTTAACTTCCTGTTGCTTTTACTTTTAAAGAATTAAAAAATAAAAACAAAAAAAACATAGCATGGCTTTCAATGTGAAAACAAAACAGGCCATGCGCCTCCAACCAACCTTGTATACTTGTCCATAGGTGCCATTTCCAACTACCTCCACCAGCTCAAAAATCCCAGCTGGGTCCTGAAAAGAGAAAAGGACCAAGTGATTAAGTATAAAGTCGTGTTACTTTAGAAAAAAATACATATTATGAATGTCCACTGCAAGCCAGCTGTTGCGCCCTGATCTCCCCTTCATGCCAAATGCATCTCGAACAAAGGAAAAGCAGACACTGGCAACACCTCGATGTGCTTTAACGGTCATTTTCAACACTTTATTCCTGACAATTACAAACCCTAAAAAAACAGGTTGAAAGTTGCGAATATTAGCCGGTGAAAAGCGGGGTTGTTTCGCCGAAAGACATTTGATAAAAGACGAGGAAAAAAATGGCAGAAAATAACATCGGCTCAGGTCGGCAGCACTCACCCGCAATGAAGCCAAGTCTATGTCTACCAGACTTTTAGCCGGAGACTCGTTCGCCATCTTTCAAATAAAAGCCGGACTTTTCTTCGACTTTGCGAAAAATGGCCGCTGTATCATTTGCGTGGGTTTCGGGTGGTAAATTAAAGACAGGGCGCCGGGTATTCCCTTCCYACGGAACCCGCTCGTCGGCAGCARAACGCTCGGGTCTAGCTACTCCATGTTGAGGTGGCAACGGGATCCCTGTTCTCTCTTCTCTCAGCTCCTCCACTGTTGTCAAGCCAGCGGTGAAATCTTTAACTTCCGGTGGGACGTTTCAATATAAAAGTCTCACTTCCGTCCACTACAAACTGAACGAGTTGGACAAAAATAAAACATGAAATTAAAGATAGACCGTTTCATTGCTTCGCATGGCTTAACATTGTGTTTAGATGCATGAAATATTCAAGGGTTTATGCCACGGGAGAGCAGAGAGCCACCATTTTCTTAAAACAAGTGAAGGGCCGCACAACCAACAGGAAATAAATATGCARAAAAACCATGTCTGAAGAAAACTTGCAGGATTTTTTTTAATGTTTATTTTCTATGAGGGGCTTGCAGCATGCTGGGTTGAAAATGTTCACCATAATATCATTATTTTTCCGAATAATAATTTTTAACCAGGTCTATTTTAGTGCAAGACACTAAAATATAATACATTAACCAGAACTTGTTTTCAGTCATCTTGAATTTCATTTCATGAAACTATTTAGTTGTTTTCAGCATCTACTTTACTGTGTATATATA